AAAAACAGTCTGCGGGTTGGTCCTTTCATTACTTTTTGCCTGATAATAAGCACTTAATGGCTGGTCCAAGAAAAACGGCGAGTATTGTCTGGTTGTCATCGTTCTTCGAAACGAAGCAGTAAGGATGGACAGAAAGAGTTAGCGAATTGCAATCAGTAAAGAATATTGAGACAGTTCAAGCTTGTTACATAAACATTAAAATAATTTCTTTATTAAGCGGCTTTCATTTCTTAATTCTACAATTTTATTGTTCTGTATTACTAAACACACTACGTTAAGTTTTTATCTTTTCGTTTAGAACAACGCAATTAACGTTTAATCGAAATTAAGAATGAATAACAACGTCACAAAATTGCAACTGAACTACTTACTATCGGAGAAGTCATATGATATCACATCTCCCTTACTAGGAGTTCTCACACCTATTTTTCGGAGTATTCACCACTGATTTTAATCAAAAGCAATTTATCTGCCTAACTTTAAATAAACTAAAGGACTCTAACAGTACTAGTATAACTGAACTATTCTGTTGCTCAGTCAATTATTCTGTTATAGTAATGTTTGGAATTTGTAACAATAAATGAATGTATTTCTTATCCTAATCCTTAAAAATATGAGCATAATTTTTGTTCTAAAAACAAACTGAAAGCTTTCCCGTAAAACCTATAAAGCCCATTTTCTCAGCAACGCCTGCCCTGATTAATGATATTTTTCTCATACATGTAGCATAGGTTTATAAGATAAAAAAAAATATTACACTCAAACGTGTCACAAAATTAAAAGCCTATCTAACTTTACAGGAGAGGCGTTAGACCTGTGTACAAAGACCTCTCTTGAGGTACTTGAAGTTATTTGCTGACGTGCAAAACTACTTTCAAAGTAGAGAACACCTAAAAACTCCTAATGGCTTTCTACGGTAGAAAAAAATAGGAAGAAATAAATAAATAAACAAGCAAGGTAACGATTGAAACGGATTACGACTAAATCAGCAGCAAACTTGAAATGGTTTCAAGATACGCTCGCCTAGACGAAGATCCTTTCACTTACATAATACGTTACTACCTGAATAAAAACCACTTTAATTGACCAGCACTGATTAGAGTACAAACTTGCACCTTATAAACAACTTTTGAACACGGTCCGACTTTGTACTACTATTGATTTTATTTATAACTGTAAAAATCATACTACACTTAACTTACATACTTAAAAACTGGACGTACTTAGTGATATAAGCTGGCAAATCGTGACCCTTGAAAAATTAACATCTAATTTCTACCTACGATATAAACATACTGTCAAGGACACAACTGATGAGAATAAACAAAATCAACAGCTAAGTGATATTGTCTTGATGTGGTACCAAATTCTCAGAGCTGACATTACAAAAATGAATGATAATCGGTAATGAGAATTAAGATGAGTTTTCGAGTTTAGATGTTTAAAACAGAGTTCGGGTCCAGAAAAGATGAGTACATTGAGCTCTGGATCTTCGGAGGGCACACCAAGCAGGGGCGGATCCAGAATATTTAAAAAAGGGGGTCCGAAGAAATTGTGGCTGAGGGCAAGCCTCCCCCATTCCCCCAAAACCGAATGAAAAAATCCCCTCTAAAACGGTTGGTCAATTTTTTTCCGAAACTACAAGAACAAAGGCGGGACAGCCCCCTCCCACCCCTAAATCCGCCCCTGCCAAGCTACCTTGCAGACTTGTGTTCTTTATATTTTTGCGCCCTTGGATGCTTTTCTCTTCACAGATTTGCAATTTTTTAAACTCAAACATTCTTTTCATCATTGCACTCTGGGTCTCCATGGACAAATGGGCACGTTCAATTAAACCACTCATGACATATCAGATTGGTTGACTATCGGAGTAGTTCTTTTCACCTCAGGAAATACCCAAAAATACTATTACCAGCATTACGACGGCTTGTTTTCAGTTGTTTAATTGCCTTTCAGTTATCAAAATGTTGTACTGAATAGCTTTGAAAATATGTATAGACAAGCAGGAAAAAGTCGTTAAGACATAAGTTTAAATTTTGCCTAAAGAATGCCCATTGGAATTTTTTCCAACATTCGCTAATTACGTCATTTATAGTACACCTGACAAAAGATTCCCATTGGACGAGAGCAGTGCTATTAATTCAAGTGGTACTAACTTTTTGCAACGTCGCTGCATTCGCAAGGTTAAAAAACTAGTTAGTCAGATTCGTCCAAATCCTCCAAGAAATAACTATCTTCAAAGTCACAACAGCTCCATGAATCAGCTATGTCTAGTGATTGTAAACTTGTTTCAGCTGTCTTCTGCGGCTCAATTTTTACCGGTGCTGTGAATGGTTTTAATTCCAGCGCAGAGCCAAGTTCACAGAGTTTTATCATGCACACTCGACCAGTGGATGTGAAACAGACGGCTCTGTCTTCTTCAGGGGACACGGCCAAGCTTACGATGCTTTCCTGCCCTTCAACTATCCTGGAGAATCCAGCAGCTTTCGCCTCGCTGATGTCCCACAGAAAGACCATACCATCAACGGCGTATGAGATAAGATATCGATTTATCTTTAAAAAACGACAAAACTCGATTATCCCAAGATGGCCGCGAAGAACTTGTTTGGAGGAATAGATATTGGAAGTGCCAAGACTGTACACAAGAATTACGTCTGCGATGCAGCATACCAAAAACTGATTATCCACCGACACACTGCACTGACTGAACCTAACAGAGATGTAAGGCCTCGCGACGCTGCGTCTCGCAATAAGGCGGCAGGTATGTTCAGCATACTCCCAGATCTCAATCTCGTAGTCACCACACAATACTACTTTATCCGAAGAAAGGCAACAACATTCCGGAGTCAGGTAAACTCGTGATTCTAAACGAGCCGAAACAACTTCTTCTTGGATATCCCATACATGGAAATATGAATCGTTTTCGCTATCCTGAGTACATAAAAGAAGAACGGTACCGTCACTTGAAAATGCAAAGCATGTTACCATACACTCGCATTTTGAGTGAAGAAACTTTAAATACGATTCTCTAAAACTGTACAATTCTAACTTGCCTTCCAAGTGAATGGCAATAAGCCTTCCGTTTGAGGACACTGCACAATTCTTCACAGTGAGAGACTGCGGGCCGGATACAGTCGACCAACCGATGCAGACATCACTGAAGGTGATGACTTCTTTATCAGCAAACGTCGAGGTTTGCATCACCGTAACTGTCGAGTCAGAGCTAACAGATATAACAGCATTACTTGAACAGAACATCGCTGCAACGGATTTTCCTACAACCAATGGTTTCACAGGTTGTGCTGGAAGAAACTTAAAAGGACTGAATAAACTTGTCAAAAAGATGGCTGTCTCCTCGGTACCATGACGAAACAAATACCCAACCTGCCTTTCTCTTGTAAAGTAGCCAACGTTATTGCCCGACACACTCGAGAGTACTTCACCTGTCTTGAAAGATAAGGCGTGCAATGAGCCTCCAGGCGACTGATAAACAAAAAAAAGATCATCATTTGAAAAGGTAAAGCGTGTGGATTTACTGAAGGTATATTCTGTTTTTTCGTGATGAATATGGTGTTCTTCTTGATTTCCTGTTTGTAACAAGCTCACCTGCAAAGAATCATCAGCCTGGATAACCCATTTCATTTGTGGTGACACGCAACTAAGAACTTTTCTGTTACCAGAATCAGGGAGATTCTGAAAACCTTCAGGAATGTTCCTCCAAAGGCCAATCTTGAATGCGTCATTATGGACCTCTCTGAACAACTCAGGGGACAAAAAATCTGGGTGCCCTTCGCTCTCCC